TCAAATGGAAAGATTTTTTAAAAGGAAAGCATCAACACCTGAATCGAGCTCTGCTCCTTCGATGTCTTACAAAATTGAATTGACCGATCTTCCTTGAGATCCGGCCGATAGGAAAAAGAGTTCGGAATATCATCCTAATCAAAGGGATGAAATAAGGAGAAAATATTTGCTTAGAGGACCTTGTCAACCACGGGGTCATGCATTTCCAAAAAAATTTGTCGGGAGTGCCCCCTACAATATATTTTTCTGCGTCCGCCACTGAGTGTATATGTTCTTTAGATAGAAGAGTAATCTCTATATATGCGTATGTGTTGGTGTTTTGCATTGAGAGATCACTCAACTTGTTTGTCCCACACTTCACTGATCAATCTTCATGTTATCTTCATAATATGGCAGATCTGGATTTATCTTGTAAGAACATCAAGAACAATATTGAGAGGAAAAGTCAATCTCTACAATTCAATCAAACCTCTCATTTACGTAATATGATTTACAAATGAGCTCTCTCTCTTTCTAATTACAAAGACAACTCCTATTTATATGGTCAAACTACTAAACAATAGTCAAAGTCAAATCTGCGTAAGAAAAGTCAAACACGATGACTTTTACAATTATAGACAATATTTAACTTTCAAGATGAATACAATTAATACTGATTTTCAGTCATAACACAACTATTTATACCCATTGCATTAAATGCAAATCAGAAGGGTTTGAACACGCGTCAAGCTTTAGGAGGAAAGCTTGTCCTTTGCTACAGTGAATAGTAAAATTGTCTATTCATGAATAGACATCATTTCGTGGAGTAGGTGGGCACTAGAGTCACACAGTTCAAAACAATTAAATTTCTCAAAAATCAGTAATTTTAATGAAACCAGATAAAATCAATGAAAACCAGATAAAAACTGATAAAATGAAATCTAGATAAAAATGTGTTTTGAAAAATATCAAATTTTGATTAATGATGCTAAAAATCGGATGAGATGTAGAAAATTGGCTAAGTGAAGAAGTTAAATCGGACACAAGGGTAAAAGGGGTTAGCCAAATCGGATGAAGCATGTGCACGGGGTTGTCCGAGGTCAAGGCAAGTCCGGACACGGGGTTGCACGAGAAACTCAGGTCGTTGGCCGAGGTAATCTAATCCGAACAAGGGAATGGACGAGGTTGGCCGAGGAAGCAAGTAAGTCGCGGCTAAGTGTGACCGAGGAAGCCAAGCTCAGTCACGGGGTTGTCCGAGGAAGAACAGATCGCGACCAAGTCAAATCCGGGAGTACCTTTGACCGAGTTAGAACTAAATCGGATGGCTCTATGTGCGAAGTTGGCTAGTCTCTGGGTAAAGCTTTGAACGATTTACCTTGAACCCGGCTAGCTATGTGAGCGATTTAGATTGAATACGATCGAGCTGTTGGCCGAATTACACTAAATCCGGACAAGGCAGTGTCAAGATTACACTATGAAAAAAATGGCTAAGTCAAATCCGGTAGAACCCTTGTGCGATGTAAGTCTAAATCTGTCAAGAAGGTGAGCGATTTTGACCAAGTACGGTCAAGGCTATGAGAGATTTACAAGATGAAAAATTTGGCTAAGTGTAGAATCCGACTAGAACTATGATCGATTTACACCAAAATCTCCTAACCCTTGAACGATGTAATCCAAGATAATCCGATCAAATCAAGTCAAAAACACAAAAATGTCAACCTTTTTACTCATAAATGGATCAAAATCTGATTTTTGATAACTTTTTCAAGAACACCAAAAACTTTTTAAAATCACTAATTTGAGTAAATCTTGAAAACGATCAATCAAATCTTAAAACTATGTGAATAACAAAGATTCCCTAAACAATTACGCACACACTGGTCATGATTTTTACATCAAAACATGAGAATTTGAAAGATTTTTGAATCAAAGTCTTAAAAAAATGAAGAACACTTGTGAACACAAGATGGACAGAAGTGAATTTTTCCAGAAAAATCTTCAAATATGTGATTTCTTCCACTTGATTTCACTGCAATCCAGCTCTGATACGAATTGTGAGTCCCACAATACGATCAATCTTCAATATTCATCAAGAATCAATGACAAACTCATATGAACATTAAGAACACAATAGAAGGAGTAGAGAGAAAAAGTCAACTAATCAAACTCTGGTTATATTTCTCTAAGTTTACGTATGATTACAATAAGCTCTCTTCTTACAATTACACTAGAAGACAAGCTATTTATAGGGTCAAACATTAAACCCTCTAGTCAAAGTCAACAAAACAAACAAAGTCAAACTAACTAAAATACAATTATTTATCTTTCAAGACGAATATAATTTAATACTAAAATTCAATCCTAACAAATACAAATCACCAACACCTAAAAATGTCCATCTTCACTTGGTATTTATAGCCCACAACTATAAAAATCGAAGTGTAAAGGCTTATGGGTTCAAAACGAAATGTCTAATCTTATTCCGATCCTTGTCAGATAATTGGTAGATCTTTTTGTTATCTATAAAAAAAATATTCTTTGTCTTTTTGTGTACTCAATACTCACTAGACAAATAGTTGACTTCCATAATTGTAGCGGAAATCTCTAGCATGTGTTTAACCTCCTTTTGCATTTAACATTTAGGTCAAGCATTTCGACTTTGGTTGCCTCTGAAGGTCATTTTTGTCCAGACCCCTTCTATGACAGTGATTAGGTGATGTTGCATCTTCAACTTCACTTTTGCTTAGCTTCAGCTTTATGGTGACTAAGGGGCTGTTTACTACCTGCTGACCGGACTGACTCGGTCAGCATATCTGACTCGGTCAGCAGTCAGTGTGTTTACCAAAATACAAATCTGACCGAGAACTGACCGAGGTATTGACCGAAAACTGACTGAAACAGCATGAAAATCATGCTTACCCGGGTCAGATACCCACTTTCCATGAATGCCCTCTTTTTCACAATTAGGTTTTCTCCCCTACCTCATCTCTCCCGACTCATCTCTCCCCACCTTCCTCCCCTTTCGGCCGTCAGTTCTCCTCCCTCCCCAGCCCTGCTCGTCGCACCTCCTCCCTCCCCAGCCCTGCTCGTCACACCTCTCCCCTCAACAATGGCAGAAAACGGATCTTTATCGCCAAAATCATAGGGTGAAAAACCCAAAAATTCAACAGAAAGAAAAGAATGAATTATAACCCACCTCCTGATAACTCTATAAAGATGCTAATTCCTCCATCTTTTATGTTTCTTCCGTCTTGATTGTGGCCTTGTGGGAAAAGAAAGCAAAATCTTGTGGGGGGAGTTGAGAGAGAGAGAAGGTGATTTGAAACATAAAAGATGATGGGCATTTGAAAAAGAATATGAAGGGAGAGAGAGAGATAGAGCACTCAATTAARGGAGAGATAGAGCACTCAATTAAGAGGGTGTAGGTAATGCAGCTAGCCTACATGTAGAKWGATATGGAACACTAGGAAGGTCTAAAAACTTGTATTAGGTGTCATCTATACATCATGCCAGCTATACTCCATTATATACAAATTGTTTATRCAAAGTTAAAAGTATAAAAATTATATTTTATTGTCTTATTTGTTAATATATGAAAATAAGTAAAATGGTATTATTTTTATTGGTAAGCATTTATTTAAAATATATATTTTGTTTTTTTTCTTCCATTAAACTATTAATAACAAAAATAATTATATATTATTCAATATATAATTGCAAATAGGGTTATATTGGTCATTATATTTTTGGTAAGCACTTACCAAAAACATTTGGTAAACATTCTTACCCGGGACAGCACTTACCGGGATAGCACTTACCCGGACAGCACTTGCCCGATAAGATTTGGTAAACAGCCCCTAAGTCTTCAATGATGTCATATTCTTTATTGTCAATTTCACTTTGTTTAGCTTCATCCTCAAAGGATATTTCAACTTCATGGTCATTAAATATTTAGGGGGTGTTTGGAATTGCTTATGAAAACTGCTTTTTAACTTATTTCAGTCTGTCACCGGTGATAAGCTGTTTCCTGGTATTTGGATAAGAAAAAAAACTGTTTATACCGATGCCAAACCGGTAATAAGTAGTTTTTGATAAATTAATACTTCTTGACTTATGAAAATAAACTTATTACCAGTTTACCATTTTAACCATGTTTACAAAACTCCGGTTTGATACCACATAAGTTAATAAATAAGCACTTTTACAAAAAAACATAAGTTGTTTTAAATAAGCAACCCCAAACACCCCCTTATTCTATCCTCTCTACGAGTATGCTTTAAGTGAACGCGTCTTCAACCTCAGACATTAATGTTTGAATATTTAACTTCAAACTTCAGTGACTCAATGATCGATCTTTAGTAGTCAAGTTCTTGTTGAACTACTTCATTAACTCTTCAGAGTCATTGAGATTCTTTTTTGTAATTGGTAACTGACTCCCTTCATTTTGGATACCTTGCAGTGCTTCTTGAAATTCAACCTCTACTGATGGTTTGAAAATTGTGAATTGAATTTCATCAAAGTAGTGTTTAAATTGTCGGGAAGTCGAAGAGAGATCGAATAAAAATGATGTAGAGATTCTTAAAAGATACCTAATTTAAACTTTATTAGAATTTTAGTATTTTGATTTAGGGGTCATTTACCTAAATGTTTGTCCGGTAAGTGTTTAACGTTAGGAGTCAACACTATAATTTATTTTATTGGGTAAGATTGTAGTACATCAAAACGTATCCTATGCAACAATTTACCTGGTAAGCGCTTACCCAGGTAAGAGTCGTCACCCTCACTTACCGGGTAAGACTCTCCATCCTTATCATCACTCTTACCAGGTAAGATTCTTGGCCCTTGCCATGTTCATCCGATGAGGAAAATTACCTGGTAAGTACTTACCGGGTAAGCGTTTAGTAAACGGCTCGATAGTTTCTTTTATTCATATAGTCCAGGGACTGAAGTTGTAATTACTCATAAATTAATAAACAACGATCGGTTTAAAAGCGAAGGGGAGAAGGAAGCACACTGCAATTGAACGCACATACCCGCCTAAATAATCGGTGAGAAATTGCGAAGACCCAACGCAACACTTCGAAGTTCGAAGATCGAACACCATGGTAGTCTCTTTTTTCAAGCTCACTTCTATAATTCATCTCGATTTCTTTGTTAATTTGATTGTTTTAATTTTGTTGTTCAGTTCTCAATTGCAGCTATCAACGATACAGATTCCAAAGACCAGTGGGAACCCCTTGCCCCTACGAAAGAAGCGCAGGCAAACCCTAGTTCTCTATCTATACATAAATATGTTCATATAAACATAATTTGTTACCAGCTACGCTGTTAATTTGGGTTTATTACGTGTAATGCGTCTCCCTTCTACATACGCAAAACGCAAACAATCTACTAGTTCTTCATTGCGGAGAAGGGATACATTTGTAGGATGAAAACTTTAATTAGCCTAACTGAAATAGGATTATGCCTAAGGTGCGACCATTGCATATGCATACATGGGGTTCCAAGGAAGTTTCAACTCAGAAAGAGAGGTAGACAACTATGGATAGTTGTCATTTTCTCTCTCATTCTGTTAGGGACAAGGCAACGAGGGAACTGTGGTTTCTTTCTATGAATTTTAAGGAGTATGTTCTAGCGTGTACAAAGGATGGCAAATTTATATATACCCAAAAATAGAACATGTGATGAGAATCAGAAACAGAAGATGATTTGTTGTTTTCTTTAATTACGATTTTAATGAAGGAAGCAGTTCTTTTTTGGTAGACCAGATCCATCATCCTGTACCCCCAGAACACCCTACATGTATGTGCTTATGCAGAATTATATGTATTTATTGCATACATACTTGGGCTTCTCTATTTGCGGAATTCCAAATAACGCTTTGTTGAAACCGCATCAGCATACTAAACTACTCAAGATGTAGGGCCTAGTGGGTAGACCTCAACGAACTTGTGTGCTAATCATAATCCTGGGAAGCCTCTTGAGCATCAAATGTTCAATTTATTTGACACTGTCAAACATGTCAGCAATGAATTTCTTTGTGCTTGCTGCCTTCTCTTGTCACACAAGCCTCTATTATAAAACTTTTCAACACTCTATCCGGATGATTATATCCTACCAAATGTCTCCAACTTACTGATCTCCAGTTTTTATCAGTTGAAGATAACAGATGTCTTAATTGCGATTATGGTATTGACAAAGAAATGAAAAAGCTGGCCAAAAGATCTTTTATCCCATGAGTTATGGACTGAAATAGGAGTTATGTAGTCAAGTAAAGATAAGAATAAAGTGGTCAGGGGCGTCATGATAAACATCATTTAGCTGTTAAAAAATGAGTCAGGAGGGACAGTAGCAGTTAGTAGGTTAGTTCTGTTAGAAGCTGTGAGTCAGCTGCTGGTAGGTGGGGGGTTTGGGAGTATTAAGTAAAGAGAGGGGATGAGAAGGCAAGGGAGGTCTTTGGTGTTAAAAAAGTGTAAAGGTTTCCTTTGGGAGAGTTCCAACCTCTCGAAAGCTGGCCAAATAATAAATCTTTTGTTTTCTGCCATTTTCTTTGTATTTTGGTGATAAGATCACAACATTGTGCATCGCCATGCCTAACCTCTGTCATTGAAGTTCATGATATCTTTATGTGGACTATACTTAAAGAATGTTAAATAACCCATTTATTAGAATTTAGATTTGTAAAAGTAATAATGCAAATATCAAACTATAAATATTTTGATAAAGCGGTGGAGTTAAATTGCTAAATGTTCCTTTTGTTCCCAATTATAAACATTAATTGACTATTATTGAGTATTGACCAAAAGATGGTGTGTTATGTTTCCAAAATATGTTCACATATAATTGAAGCTAGAGAGATGATGTTATATTGTTTGTTTCTCTAGCATTTTTCTTATGCAATTGATTGATTTTTATACATTCTATGCCACCAGGAATTTCGCCTTTCACAAATCTATCAAGAAGGACTATTGAAGTTACAAGCAAAGGATTACGAAAAGGCTCGTGAACTTTTAGAAAGTGTGTTAAAAGATCATCTTCTTCCAAATGGCCAGGTCAGAATTGCTTCCAAGAATCTCATGCCTCATAATGCCATTTACTTTCTACATTTGGTTTCTTAAACTTTTTAAAATTTCTTCTTGTTGTCAGGTCGATAATAGTGGTAGTGATGGCCATCTATTGCAACTGAGGTTAATGTTCACTTCTCATTTTTGTCATTCAGTTTTTTCATGGTTTCAAAATGGCATTGTGGTAGTTATGTTGCATGTTTTGATTTTATGCTTGGGTTTGCCTACTACGTGATTTGATTTATAAGATTCATTTTCAAACCCTAATTGTCGCATTAGCTAGTAACAATGTAAACATGCAATTGTATTGATTGAAGTCCGTAGTATACCAATCTAACCCTCGTTAACCGGATGTACCAAAATATCGACTGAAGTCCAAGCTCATCATATACATCATATTGACATGAAAATGTCAAAAGTTTAGTAGCATTTAAGAGTATCCAAATTGAGGTTGTGAAATAGATCTGATCTACAAGGTGTCATGGACTTGATTTTTTCCAACCAATGTGCATGGTGAGCGACAACGAAGACACATTTGTAGTTTGTTCTTTCTTTCAATACTTGATCCGTATACTTGATGATTACCATTTAGGAGCACTTCACCTTTTATAGGAAGTTCCACCTCTCCACAGGATGATCTACATTATGGAACCTTGTAAGTTCTACTACATTGCTCCCAAATGGAGATGATAAAACATACATACATGACAGAACCAGATACATATTTGAAAATGAATAAGCTTTACTAGGATTTAATGAAAACTCAAAATCTTAAACAAAGATTAACCATTTAAACTGCAACATTAACTACAATATTGTTCGAGGGCAATCATCAAACCAAAGTTGTCATCTTTACGTTTCATCTTTCTCTCCAAGTAAATGGGTAGGGATTAAAACATGTTTAACCCATATGGATAAATCTGTTTCAACAAAAGAAAAATTAGAGCATCGCTCATAGAACCCGAACCCTTTGACTTGGAAAGAATCCTTGGTAAGATTGAGATGACACAAGAGAATTTGGAGTGGTGAAACTTTTTTGTGCAAGAACTTGGGACGACTTGCCATTGCATGGGGGTACACCCAGCGTGGTGCATGCATGGTGAGGGCAGTAGAACCACCTTTGATTCAGTGTTCAAAAAGGCGCACCATGGCGTGATATGGCACAAGACGCGTCTTCGCTGTCACGAAATGGCCCAGTGTTTCTGTAAACTGTGGCTCACGCCATGCGACTTGAGGCACACCATGGCGCGCATTTTCTTTGTAAGACTGACTTTTTTCAAAAAAAATATTTTTTGGTTTTTTTTTTCCTTTGTGTTCTTACATTTTTAACTTTAGATTACACTGTTATAGATTTATCTAATCACATCACTCATAGTTTCACGAATCCATAAACATTATGGACTCGCTATTAAAACAGAGTTGCAAAATTACCTAAGTAATATTTTAAATATTTAATGGAAAACTATTTTTATGATAATAATGTATTTGATTTTTCTTCTTCTAATATGAATGTAAATTTTTTAATATCATTAGCTGATTAGATAATATATAGGAAACATATATGTATATATATATAATTCTATATATGACATACAAATTTGCCGCCTTATGTCACGCCTTGAAAAACGCCGCGTCCTCACCGTGGCATGTAAGGCTTGAGGCTTGACCTTGCCGCCACGTCTCATGCCATTTTGAACCCTGCTTTAATCTAAAATAACAGTGAATGTCATCTTATTAATGTGTATATGTTCTTCTCCACAGATTTTTAACACTGAAAAATCTTGCCACTGTGTTTCTTCAACAAGGTTCTACCCATTATGAGAGCGCTCTACACTGCTATCTTCAAGCTGTAGATATTGATTCCAAAGATTCTGTTGTGTGGAACCAGCTGGGGACATTGGCATGCTCAATGGGCTTGTTGAGCATTTCTCGTTGGGCATTTGAGCAAGGGCTTTTATGTAGCCCCAACAACTGTAAGTGCTTAAATTTAAAGCTTCTTTTTGTGTTGTGTATGTCATGCTTATTTCTTCTCTTGGCTGAAGTAGTCTTTATAAGTTTTTTTTCTTGTTCTTCAGTATTTTAGTGTATAGTCTTCTTTACATGTGTTATTTGCTCGATTTGTGCTCTAATTTTTTTTGATGATGCATATAGGGAATTGCATGGAGAAACTGTTGGAAGTTCTTATTGCTATTGGGGATGAGGTTGCCTGTCTTTCAGTTGCCGAGATAATTCTAAGGCATTGGCCTTCGCATTCTCGTGCCATACATGTCAAACATGTCATTGTAGAGTCTGAACCAACTCCCTTCGCTCCGAGAGGTATAGACAAATTGGAACCACAGCATGTCCGACTGAAATTTTTGGACAAAAGAAAAGCAACAAATCATGACCTAGATGACAATGGTGCAACTAAAAGGTCAAATCAGAATATAATCTTGCATCTCCCAGAAGCATCTTGGACAGCACTGGCTGGTGAGCTCTTAGGAATCTTGACTCCATTGAATGAATGTGATCCTAAAACAGGGGCTTATGAATTGCATAGATCTGCAGACATTAGATTAATCATACATCTGCCTTGTAGTTCAGATAATGTTTCTAGGGAAAGGAAAATATCTTACAACCCAAGCAAGGATAATGAGGCTGTTGAGCATGCTAGCACAGAGACTAGTTTGAATGAAGAACCACACCAAGAAAGACGAAGCAGTCGTCTTGAAAGACTTAGGAGTCGCAAACCTGATAAGGAAGAACCAGATTTTACAGTCACTAAGGATCTAGTCAAACTTGTTCCTCAATTTCTGAAACCATTTATAATGGTTGAATCAGGAACTACAAATTGCAGTATGGATGCTGCTGCTTCTTTTCGTTGCTCTGAGGTTATGACCAATACCCAAAATGTTGAGTCCATTGACGTTGCTAGGTTTGTGTATGAAACATCAAAAAATTATGGTGCATGTCATATAGGTCACTTGCTTTTAGAAGAGATTGCATGTAAAGGCATTCCATATCAGGATTCGTTTGCAAAGTTTTTAGAGTTGGAACAACTGACAAGGAATTCAGGAGAGAACAGGACCCCTGAATGCAGTATTTTTCTTGCTGAGCTGTCTTATGACTTCGGGATAAGATCATCAGACCCATCAACAAGGACTGATTTCATGTCAAGAGCATCTTATCATCTTTGTAAACTTATTGAATCTGTAGCTTTAGATTATCCATTTGATTGTAGTGGTGGAATACCCGAGAATAGTATCTGCCCTACAACGGATGGCTTTTCAATGGGTTCTCTGTTGGACAATAAACGAGCCCTTTGGGTGCGCTTTTACTGGCTAAGTGGGAAATTGTCGGTTTTCAATGATAACAAGGAAAAAGCTCAGAAAGAATTTGGTGTTGCATCAGCACTACTTACGGCCAAGGAAAAGGAAAGCAACCCTCTTGTTTCCATCAGCCTACCACACTTGAAAGTAATGAATGAGCTGACTGCTGATTGGGTTCTGCATGAACTTAACCTATTAGAGGTTGATTTTTTGATGAAAAATAGTGTAAGTGACATGATTGAAAAAGGCTTGTACTTGGAATGCATTGTCTTGCTTGCTCCTCTTCTGTTTTGCATGAAAGATGATCATGTTGCTGTTTCAGCTTTTCTTAATAAGGATGATGAAGGGGTTGCTTCAGCTGAACTATCTGCACTGAATGTTCTAATCAAAGCATGTGAAAGATCAAAACAAATGGATGCCATTGTTTATTTAAGATGCCACAGACAGAAGCTGCGACTTCTCATGTCTGCAACTGGTGTGGAAGAGTGTTTTGGTTCCCAGAAACCGTCCAATTTCTCCAAGCCCAAGGTACTAGCAGCTTCTGAAACTGAACTAACTGAAAACTCGAGCACAGTCTTGCATCCTCTTTTATCTGAAGAAGTGAAGGCAATTTCTCAATGTACCATGGAGATGAGGAACTCCATCAGTCCTTGTGTAAGTATTGTAAGTTGAATGTTTTCAATCTTCTGAAAATATATGTGGTTTTTCCGAACATAATATTAATTAATATATGGAAACAGACTGGAATAGAAGAGATACTGTTACTACATTTATTGGTCATTTATTAAATAAGCCACTTCCCATATTTTTTCATTCGTGGATTAAATGGAAATGATATTTTACTTGTGCTTTGTGTTGGAAAATAGTATTGTAGGTGGACTGGTTTCAATCTTCTGAAAATTATATATGTGGTTTTTTGAACATAATATTAAAATGTATATGGAAGCAGACTGGGATAGGAGACATACTGTTACTACTTTTGTTGGGTATTTATCAAAATAAGCCACTTCACATATTTTTTCTTTCACATACCAAAACATTGGAAATGATTTTTCACTTGTGCTTTATGTTGGAAAATAGTATTACTTCGTTTCAGAATTGCCAATAAGACAAAGCGAAATATATAGGTTTATCTTGTTATTGCATAGTATCTCTCAAAGCATTATGCATTCCAGTCTGTCCAGACTGAAAATCTCAGTTTTTTGTTGCAAATTTTAAGATCACCACCATATACCCTCTTATTGGTAATTCCTTTTTCTTCTGTTCTGCTGATAAATAGTCATCCTTGCTGATTTGTCTTTTTCTTAGAGAAATCCGTTCATACAACTAGGGTTCCCCTTATCATACAACTGGTCGGCAAGAGAGAGCCACTCATTCCCCTTATCATGCTGCTTCCATCATTTGATTCAGAATGACCAGTGTTGGACTGGTTGACATGAAATCATATAAATATTCATGCCTGCTAAATTTGGTTTCATGTGCTTTTCTTGTAGCATAGTATCATTCCCCAATCCTCAGAAAGCCGAGGAGGCTTAGTCACCATGGTTGCCCTTATGGCATGGTTCTAGTCTATATATCTGCAAAAGAGGACTTAACAAACTACAGGATAAGCGAGTATGCTTCTTGTATGTCTTTCATGTTCTTTTGCTTCGTATGGCTTCCCCTTGTTGGAGTCAAGTATTTGGAGTTCCATCTAGCAAGCTAAAAGTGTAGGACATTCTGTCACGCGCTTCTCATGTCTGCATGTATATAAAAAATTGTTTTATGCCGGAAGACCATTTGATGTTATATACTTTTTAAAATCAGCATTTGCTGCACATGGGAAAGCTGCTGGAGTTCTAAGTAATTTAAAGCTGATGACTCTTTTCTATCTTGTATGTTCGGCAGCAGCCAATGGAGTCACTGTTCTATCTGCATGTAGTGTGAGTTGTCATCAACGCTCCCCAAGTCTCTGTAGTCATGCAGCAGTCCTGACTCCCTACTTCTTACCATAATAATTTTGAAAACTTTTAGTAACATTTACTTAGAATGTAGCAGTAATGTTCATGCTATTCATAATGGAAAATGTGAATGCTCTTTCAATTTTATAAGGACAAGCACTTTACAATGAATTTCTTAATTTAAAAAAGATGTGAGGGAATTCGAACAGATAATCTGAAATAGTGTTAAAAATAAACCAGACTCGTACATAAGGCTTAGGGAATATACTGTTTTACTTATGTTGTTGATTCCTCACATTCGTGCTCTTGAAAGATTCATAAACTTCATTTTCATGTACCTTTGCTGTTGCTCACAGAATGGCTCTGTTGTTCCTATGAGAATCATTGGTGATATTCAATCTTTCCTGCTAGCAGTTATGTGTCATATAGCAAGCATATGCTTCTCTAGGAAATCGTTAGGAGCGGATGATCTGGATGATAAAGAAAGCAAGCAAAAATGCTGTTTTGTAGACGCTGCCATTGCATTTTTCAGGCTTCAACATCTGAATCCGAATGTTCCTGTCAAAACTCAAGTATGCAGATCTCTTACTCCTGTTGATGTGGATTTTCATTCAAGCTTTCTGTGACCTCTTTCATTTTCTTGTTTGACATCTCTCGGTCTTGCTTTCTTAGATTGAGTTGATAATTGCAATCCATGAGATGCTTGCTGAGTATGGCCTCTGCTGTGCCAGTGGTGATGGAGAAGAAGATGGGACGTTTCTAAAACTTGCAATAAAGCATCTTTTGTATCTAGACATGAAGCTTAAGTCAACCTCTATAAACAAGGGTTCAGAACCAACTCAGTGTGATGAACAAGTTCCGCAAGAAGGCTATAATAAGATATCTGGGAACGATTCAAATGAACCAGAATTCGATAAACTCAATCTGGAAGTGGGTCCAAGTGATATGGGTAAGACCAGAGCTACAGATGCAGATGCCACTAGAAGTGTGATTAACAATGGTAATTCATCTACTAAAGACACAGGGAAAGAAAAAGCAGCTGTAGAGTGTGGTGAATTCGCAGGTCATAGTTCCAATGGCATGTTCCATAAAGGAGAAGAGGCAAGCAGTCAGTTACTAGAATCTGGAAAACAACTAACTGAAGAGGAAAAAGAGGATCTTGAGATTGAAATAGACACTGCTCTAGATCAATGCTTTTTTTGTTTGTATGGTTTGCATCTTAGATCTGATTCATCGTATGAAGATGATCTAGCCATGCACAAAAATACAAGCCGTGGAAATTATCAAACAAAAGAACAATGTGCGGATGTTTTCCAGTATATTCTGCCGTATGCTAAGGCTTCATCTGTGAGTTGATCATAATCCCTCCTAAGTTTATTCTGTCTTATTAATTTCATAACACCTGTCTACATTTCATTATTTGTGAGATATTCTATAGTTATACAGGGCTTCACATTTTAATGGTTTATTGGATTCATATCTTCAGAGAACTGGATTGGTTAAACTGCGAAGAGTATTAAGAGCCATACGCAAGCATTTTCCTCAACCACCTGACAGTGCGTTGGATGGAAATGCAATAGAAAAATTCTTAGATGATCCAGATTTATGTGAAGATAAACTGTCAGAAGAGGCTGGATCTGATGGATTTCGGGATGCCATCATGAACATTATATATCAAGATGGTTCAATTCCTAAGCGACAACCAGCAACTATAGAGAGGTATATATTCCTTACACAATGTTCATAGCTCTATATAAATAGTTTGTTATATCATGCTGTCCTTTTGTAGCTCTGAACCATATATGGATGTATATCGCAACTTGTATTATCTCCTCGCACAGTCGGAGGAAATGAGTGCAACTGATAAATGGGCTGGATTTGTGCTCACTAAGGAAGGCGAAGAGTTTGTACAACAAACTGCGAAGCTCTTTAAATATGATTTACTGTTTAACCCACTGCGATTTGAGAGCTGGCAACGACTTGCTACTATTTATGATGAGGTAAGATCATAATTGGATCATGTTTCTGAACCAGTCTTTTCCATGTACCACCTAGTACACATATACTAGGAATTTGCCTTAAAATCTAGAATTTTTTTTTGTCAGATAAATTTGTAAGATGTGAAGGAACTCTTTTAAATTTATTTTGCAGGAAGTGGACTTGTTGCTGAATGATGGCAGTAAGCAAATAAATGTTACCGGCTGGAGGAAGAATGCAACTTTTGCTCAGAGAGTTGATACAAGTCGAAGGAGGAGTAGACGTTGTTTGTTAATGACCTTGGCTCTAGCAAAAACAGCGATTCAGCAGGTTTGATTCTTTAATATTTAGTATTCATGTATGCTCTTTTGAGATTGAAGTAATCAAACTTGATGGTAGTTTGAATAAAATGTTTACCTACCCTTTTATGTGGTTGGGGAGGTACAAGTAAATTGCAAAAACTGAATTAGAATCCCTTGATGTCACTGCTATGTAACTACTTTAATTGTAAGCTTTCCTCATTTTCTCTTGAAAGCTAGGTTAACATATTACCATATACAATATCTATGTAAACTTGTGATCCTCCCCCCACCCCCTTAATGACACTAACTGGAATCTACATGAACTTTTCATTCATGACACTGAGCCATGCCATTCTCCAGAAGATGCTTTAGAAACCATTAGTTGATCTTATTTTTGTAAGGTTATTGGTTGATGAAGTATACTTGATCATGTTTCTGATGCTTGATGTATTTTACAATGATTTCAGGGAGAGATACATGATCTATTGGCACTGGTGTATTATGATGGTCTTCAGAATGTGGTACCAATTTATGATCAGAGATTGAATTTGCCAGTAAAAGATGCTGAATGGAGAATGTTCTGTCAGAACTCTATGAAGCATTTTGAGAAGGCCTTCACTCAAAAGTATTGCTATTTTCAGTTCTTTTTCAACTTTGGTTTTCTAATTTATCATATGAATCAGTATCACTCATATTTTTTGGTGACAGGGAAGACTGGTCTTATGTATATTACTTGGGGAAACTTAGCGAAAAGCTTAGATACTCACGCGAGACATCATTTGCATACTATGACAAGGCTATTTCTTTAAATCCTTCGGCGGTAGATCCATTCTATAGAATGCATGCTTCACGATTGAAGTTACTCTGGTCATGTGGGAAAAATGCTAAGGAAGCCTTAAAGGTTCTTTCATTTCAGATCTCGTTATTTTGTTTCTTTCTTTCCAACATTCCTCTTGAGGCTCGCCCTATTTAAATCATAATGCAGTTCGCCATTTTTCTCTCTTTCTCAGATTGCTGCCATGTATTCGTTTAGTCAATCAATGAAGGAGACTGTTATGACTATTCTTGATAAAATCGATCCTGAAAATTCTTCGTGTATAGATGCTGACAACCTGAACACTGGAACAGACTCTGAGAATGTAAACCCCTCACATTGTAATTTAGGAGAGATGTGGAACATGCTTTACAGTGATTGCCTTTCTGCGCTTCAAATTTGCGTGGAAGGAGACCTTAAACATTTTCACAAAGCTCGATATATGCTTGCTCAAGGGCTATACAGAAAGGGTGAGAGTGGGGATTTAGAAAAGGCAAAGGATGAACTTTCATTTTGCTTCAAGTCATCCCGCTCTTCTTTTACGATCAACATGTGGGAGATCGATAGTATGGTAAAAAAGGGAAGGTAAAAATACTGAATTTTTGTTTCATGTGAAATCTTGTTAAAAGTAAAAAACTATATTGGAGCACAATAGTGTAACTAGAAATTTCTTGCTTTGCATGTCATAGAATGGAAGCCCAGATGATTTTCAAATGCTTGAATACTTTATTCATTCTTACTTGCACTTTATGACAACAATTGGAAAGGGAAAAGGCTAAGGAGGGAAGTCTCTCTTTACTCGATGCAATCGCAAGTGACAATTTTGAATGTTAGGACTCAAGTTCTTTCAAGGAAAGCAGTTTACTTATAAAAGTTATTATATGCATGCTGATTATCGGTTCTACAGTTATTCGAACCTGATTTTAACATTTTCTTGAGGATTAGTTCTGAATTAGACATGTCCTTTTAATTTCTTCCCTTTGGGTTTCAGGCGCAGAACACCTGGCATGGTTGGGAATAGGAGACCGCTTGAAGTTAACTTAGCAGAAAGTTCTCGTAAATTTATAACTTGCATTAGGAAGTATATTTTGTTCTACATGGTACTCTTGGAAGAGACGGGGGATATATCAACCCTTGAACGAGCTTATATTTCTATCCGGGCAGATAAAAGGGTATGCTTTTTTTTTTTTTTAGTATTTTACTAAATGAAGCACTTCGCTGTATTATCACAGACTTTCTATTTAAAATCTATCGTAGCAGAAATCTTAGATGCTGGAAACAGGAAAGGGGAATTTTAACACCCCCCCCCCAAAAAATTGGGTCATCCATATCCCCAAATAAACCTATTTTGTTGGATTTACCAAGTCTAGAAAGTACTCATATAGATCACATTAGAAGTTGTAGCTTATGCTGATTTCTCTTCAAAAAAAATTGTGGAATCTGAGGATCCTTGGATGGGGATGAGAATACTTTATAAAAGATCAATTTTCATTGATCGAAGCTTTTGAAATTTAGTTGTATTCCACACAAAAACTAGATGGTGGATGTTGATGTCAAATCCAGTACTTGCGCAAAAGCAATGTTGATTGATTTTGTTGCAAATATAACACCAACAGTATTCTTTTTGTATTTATTTGTTACTCCTTCAATCCCATGAAAATTGCAACACTTCTTATTTCAGGATGCTCTATTCTTTCTGGGAAAATGTTAAACTAAATTATCTATTGCACCTTGCAGCATTGCAAGAATGAAATTGATTTGGTCCAACAGATTTTCTTTTTTTGTCAATTTGAAGGCTATCTAATTATTAGACTTGTGATTGTACATTTCTCTATATCTATGTAAAAGGTTGGAATTTCAGGGGGCTTAGGCGATATAATATTTAATGTTAATACCAAATTTGAAGTGGAAAAGTAACTTGTTTGACATACATAGTCAAAGTGTTCTTTAATAAATTTTATTCTTGATGCTTTTTGGAATATTCTGTTAATATAGCTTAACAGTCTTTATTCATCTTAATGATGCGTATCAATTACTGTTTGTAATCTTGTTCTTACTGACCTGTACCTGATTATGTACAAATGCAGTTTTCATTGTGCCTTGAAGATCTTGTTCCTATAGCTCTTGGGAGGTACGTCAAGGCCTTGGTATCCTCCATTAATCAAATTGAGATCGGCAAAAGCTCTGATAACATTGCTTTGGAGCATCTTCTAGAGAAAATTTTCTCTTTGTACATGGAGCAGATGAATTTGTGGTCGGATATTTGCAATTTGCCCGAGATCAAATGCCCAGAAATCTCTGAAAGCAGCTTATTTGGGTAAGTTACCCCTAAATAGATTTATATAATCTCTATTTTCTCATACTTGGTGCACTTGTTATTGCTTGTTGCAGATATCTCTTCAAATACATCCAAATACTAGAGACAAACTGCAGGTTAGAAGCACTCGAGGGGATAAACGAGAAGATGAGAAAACGCTTGAAAAACCCAAAGTTATCAAATAGCAACTGTGCTAAAGTTCATAAGCATGTTTGTATGGCTTGGTGCCGATGTCTAGTGATTAGCTTGGCATCAGTAACACCACTAAATTCCAGATTTTCAACAGATTCCGAAGTCCTTACTTTGCTAGATGTAAACAACCAAATGCTCTGTATCGATCTGCGTACAGATGAATTTTGGCAATCTACATTCGAGGATGTAAACTATCTGAAAGTTCTGGAAATGAAATGGAATGGTTTGTTGTCAAAGATGAAGGATGTTGTAATTAAGAGACCTTCAGAAGAAAATTTGGAAGCTGCCACTATGTTGCTTAGATCCTCTTATAATTTCTATAGGGATTCCTCTTGTGCATTGCCCGCACCTTGCCTAAATCTCTATTCGGTGCCATTAACAGAAGGGAATGTTCAGTCAAATGTGCATGCAGTAGACACTCTAGAAATGAATACAACAAAGAAGCTTCTCTTGTGGGCATACGCTCTGTTACATGGACGTTGCATCACAAACGTATCAGTGATCATAAAGTACTGTGAAGAGACTCTAAAGGTATGCAACCTACGTCTAACTGCATACATATATTTAATTTGAAGTACATCAAATTAAACTCACACACTTCTCAACTTTGGTGAGACTTGAATCCCTGACCTCCAAGAAGGTGGGGTTACCGGTTACCATTGGGCCAATGGCCCTTTGGGCATACATACATTTTGATGACCAAAAAAGAAATGGGCTATTGCACCTGTGAAAGATGAAAAAAATATCAATCAGCAACAATTTGCCTGCTCAATCTTTTTCGAGAATTCTGATAAATTTTAAGAGTTTTGACACCCTTTAACCTTCTTCAAACATAGTTGTAGCCTTTCAGATTTCTATAGAAACAAGAGTGTATTCAGTTGAAATACCGGCCACCATGGCCAAATGATCTGCTATATGGAGTTAAAAGTACTCATGAATGATGTGTATCTCTTTTCCCACTGCAGTCGAAGATGAAGAAGGGCGGTGGAGGTTCATCTACACCTACACCTACAACTCCCGCCATGCACTCTGTTGTTGCTTGTCAAACAGGTTCTCTCTTCCCAAATCCCATATTTTTCAGTCACTTGTTTATCTTGATCTTATGTCTAGAGTAAATGATAAGTGTGTATGTTCACCCCCTCAATTCCAAAATAAATCCAACTATTTTTCTGTGGGATGTACCAAAAGAATGCAACATTTTGCTTTTTTAACGAGGTTACAATACAAAATTCACCCTTTTGTTATTAATTATCGTCATAAAATACAAGCATTCACTGAGATTACTACATTTTTGTTGTTGTCGAGGGAGGACATTCTAGATATCTAAACCAAACCAAAAACTCATTATATCCCACCAAAGGTAGGATCTCTATCCCAATAGACATGCTTTAGACATTTCCTAGTAGTAAAACACTTCCATTAAACTATTTTGGTTTAATGAACTAATCATTACGTGTTCACCCATTAATGTTCTATGCTATTTCCGTCCCAAAATTAGTGTCCACATTGAAAAAGGCACAATTTTAGAAATGTGTAATTATCACTCTTTTTAATTAACTAAATGATTATTGCATTCTTAATAATAGAGGGAGTAATGAATCTCTTCATCTCATAATTAAGGGTAGAATTAGAAAACTAAAATAGAATTGTGGACACTTGTCTTGGAACGGAGGGACCAGCTTTGTCTTGATTCCAGTTTTAACGTCTGCCTGCATGTCAGGTGTAGGCAAGGATGTGGTTGGCATTTCCGGTGGAAGAGATACTGCAATAAGTGTGGACCCTACGTTAACCGGAACTAGAAATCTAGAAATCATGTCCTCTAAACCTGATATAGGAACTAATTGTGATGATGGGTCTGCTTCTTTGCAAGAAGCAGAGAATGAGGGCGAAAGCCGCAAAATGATATCAGCAATCCCGCTTTTGCTTCCTTGTAAGAATGCCGATACCACCATGACCGGCGATAAGGATGATAAGCCACAAGCAGCAGAAGCAGATAGTGAGAAAAGTTGACGACACAGGAAACAACGAGAATTGTTTGGGTTGCATTGTTTGTATCAAAGTGATTGTTGTATGAGAGTTTGTTATTTTTATAAAGTAAGAAGGAAGAAGTAATGTATATAAGATTTTAGAGTAAACTATGTTTTTTTTTGTCCGTGTGTTGACAATTGCTATTTTTGTCCTTGTGCGTTAGAAATTATGGGTTTCGTCCCTGTGGTTAGGGGTGCAAATGAGTCAAGCCGAGTAGTAGGTTATTCGAGCTTGCCTCGAAAAACTAATACTAGGGTCGAGCTTAAATCAAGTTCGAATAACTTTTCAAAGTAGGGTTTGCGCTTGAACTCGAATATTTTTAAAATTATCGAGCTCGATGCTCGTTTATAGGTTTGAAGTCACGATCGATTAACTTGTTTATTGCCTTGAGTTCAATAATTTTTATATTTTTAATGTATGATCGATGAATGTATCATGAAGATCTGAGGTTCAACTCACAATCAATTAAGATCAAGAACACAATAAGATTTGATAAGCCAAATGTGTATTTGATAAACCAACAATGAATATAGCGTGTTCTTGAGAAGCTGTTTGTCTACAAGTGATTAGAAAGTTAAACTGCACGAATGTGACTCCTAAAACTAACAAACACCCTATTTATACACCTTATTACAAAGCATGTAAACTAACTACAAAGTATAATAAAACAGTTTAAGTACACAGACTTGAATACAACATTCTAACTCAACAATCTTCCTTTTCGGATTCAAGTCCAAAAACAAAATTCCTCGGATCTTCAGAATTCTTTCAGAAGTTTTGACACTGAGATTTGAGCACTTGATATCTTCAGACAGTTTGACTTTCTAAGATTTGATCTTTATCAGCTTTTGAACAATCTCCCTCTATATTATAATCTCTTTCTGTACTAGTCTTTTTTTAAACTTCAAACTTTTCACAATCTCCCCTTTATCATTTGCAAACTCCACTTAAACTTGATGGCATCTTCTTTCTTCTTTTGTTCAAACTCCCCTCGTAGAATCATTTTGACTCGACAATTTTGAATTATCTCATTCAATGGTTTTGCACAGTAATCTTTCTTAATAGCTTGTAATCTCACTTTGATGTTTTCTTCCAATCTCCTGTTTGTATTTGTCAATTTTCTCCCCTTTGTAATAATCTTCATTCATCTTTAAAAACACTTCTATCTCCCCCTTTTGTAATTTTTCATACCATCTCCCTTTAACCATATTATCTCAACAATTTTCAGCATTCAGAAATAATTTGCAACAATCTAAACTCCCCCTTAACTCCAACATTCATTTGATCTCCCTCTTATGATGTGAATGGGGAACAACATCATACTAACAAATGAATGTATGAACATGAAATTTATGCCATCAATTCATAGAGATATAAACAAATCTTTTTAAATTCACTTACATATTCCTTAATGAATGAATCATTTAAGAACAAATTAGGAAAAATACCAGATTCAACTTATGAATCCGTTTTCAATCTTTTATTCAAAGATTGACATGTGAATACAACAAATGTATTATATGCAATCAATGCACTTTGAATATGAAACTTTTTGATGTTCATCTCACCAGAACTTCCATTCAATCATTGATAACTTGAAAAAACAGATCTATGAATGTTATAACAGAATAACAAATATTATGTGAAATTTGTGTAGTATAGAAAGATAAAATAACAAATGCTTCAAAATAAGCTCAAATTGATAAAGCAGTGTGGACTACACAAATTTATCAGACTCGATGTGATCAAAGAAATTTGAAAGGGGGGGGACATATATCATTCTTTTTCAATATTAGTAATCTCTAAATGAGAAACCGATAGATTATGAGTTGTGTGCCCCAAGTGTTATTGAAACAATTATCTTTTAAGAGATAACCGAGTAGTTAGTGGGTATTAAACAAGAGTTGGCCTGGTTTTTGTCTTTTTCAATATTAGTCTCCAAAGAATTGAGAATTCACAGATTGTGTGGTTGCCCGGATTATAATAGGTAGATCAGGATTTTGATATTCTTTTAATCTTGTACACCTCTCAATCATTTCTTTTAAGCTCACAACTACTACCACTCTCTTTTTCATTTTAAGCTTGACACACATACCCAATTTTCATTTTGGCTCACCTCTCAGTATGGTTGTCCTCTTGGGTAGAGCTATCGATTCTGATAGTCCATAGAGGTTATATCTGAATAAGCACACAGTCCCACCTAAAAAATTTCATGTAAGCACAATGAAAACGTATGCAAATAAGCTCATAAACTTTGATAAAATCACATGAGTTGAAAATCAAATATGTATTTCAGAGTGGCTCATGATTTTGAAGAAATGAATAATTCAAAGCACAAATATTTAGGAAAGAAATGAACAGAGATCTGTAAGAACAAGTTACAGATTTATCTTTCAATGAATAACAAAATATTTGTCAATGACGAATCATATAACGACTTATCAGAAAACAAATTTGAATACAAACGATCATATTATTTCATTAAAAAAATGAAAATTTCATTTTAAAGACATGATAATAACAATTTGAAGAGAAGCTGAATCAAGTGTTACAATGATGCTTGAAGAGAAAATATGCAAGCATAACTCGAGAAAACACTTGATCAGAAATAGTACTCGTTTCAGACAAAAAATAAAATGAAAAACATTTAAAATCACACTTCTTAGAATCAAAAAATCTTTCAGATTTCACGAATAGTTTGAACATTTAAGAAAACATTTTTATATACTCAGAAGTTATCATTCTTCTAAACATATGAAAATAAGAGTTTAGAAAAATATACCTGAGAATCAGATCAGATAAGAATAAAAATGGTGATGCTCCCCCTTGAATATAGCTTTCAGTCTCACACAAACATATTAGTATTTGGCAATTAAAAATATGTAGAGACTCAGACTCCCCCTCATCATGTTGATCAAATTATTATATATATACAGATTTAGCGTCTTAAGATTGCTTATTAAAAATGAAAACATTTTCTCATCGAGTGGTTTTGTGAATAAATCAGCAAGTTGAAAATCTGTTTGTACAAAATGAATTTCAATTGATCTTTTTCAACATGATCTTTAATAAAGTGATACCTGATATCTATGTGTTCGGTCTTGGAGTGCTGCACTGGATTAACAGTTATTGCAATCCTGCTATATGAATCACAGTTGATAGGGACTTTATTGAATGTATATCCATAGTCTTGAAGTTGTGTTTTCATCCAAAGCACTTGTGAACAACAACTTGCTGCTGCGACATATTCTGCCTTTGTGGCAGACGATGAAACACAATTTTGCTTCTTTGAAGACCAACTGACTAGTTTGTCTCCTAAAAGCTGACATGATCAGGAGGTGCTCATTCTATTAATCTTACAACTTGCATGGTCAGAATCTGTAAAAGCTGTTAGCTCAAAACTAGAATCTTTTGGATACCAAAGGCCAAGAGTTGGTGTGCCTTTGAGATACCTCAAGATCCTTTTAACCGCATCAAGATGTAACTCTTTAGGATTAGCCTGACATCTTGCACAAAATCATGTTGCGAACCTAATATCTGGTCTACTTGAAGTTAAGTATAATAAAAATCCAATCATGCTACAGTAATTTTGTTGATATACAGATTTACCAGATAAATCTGCATCTAATAAAGTTCTAGTAGCCATAGGAGTCTTTATTGAAGAACAATCAGACATGTTAAACTCTTTTAAAATATCTTTCACATACTTTGATGATTAATGAATATGCCTTCGGAAAGTTGTTTTACTTGAAGACCAAGGAAAAAAATTAACTCACCCATCATAGTCATTTAAAATTTTGATTGCATGATGTCTGAAAAATTCTTGCAAAATTTTGGATTTATAAAACCAAAAATTACATCATCAACATAAATTTATATCAAGATCAAGTGTTTATCTTGCTTTTTCATAAATAATGTAATATCAATCATACCTTTCTTGAAACCGGATTTCAACAAGAATTGAGTTAATGTGTCATACCATGCCCTAGGTTCTTGTTTAAGGCCGAAAAATGCCTTGTTTAGGACATATATATGATCTGGCTTTTCAGGATCAACAAAGCCTTCAGGCTGACTCATATACACTTCTTCATGGAGAATTCCATTTAGAAATGCTGATTTTACGTCTATTTGATATATCTTGAAGTTCTTGTGAGCCGTGTATGCTAAGAATATTCTGATAGGCTCAATACGAGCAACTGGAGTAAAGATCTCGTCATAATCGATACCTTCTTGTTGACAAGAACCTTTTGCGACCAGTTGAGGTTTGTTTCGAACAACAATTCTCATTGCATCCTTTTTGTTCTGGAAAACCCATTTTGTACCGATTATAGATTCGTCTTTTGAATTACCATTTTGCAAAGGTAAGGGTTGTACATCCGTTAGATTATTCTAATCATCATACTCATCAGTTGCAGCTTGAATATCTGAGTATTTAAACATTAGCATCAGGTTGAGAAGACTCAGATTGAACAACTTCAACGGGTTGAACAATGTTAGATTGAGTCAATGTTGGAACAAAAATGTTGTATTCAAGTCCTCGTGCTTAAATTGTTTTATAATGCTTTGTAGTGTAGTATCCTTTTATAGAAGGTTAGTTTAGTTTCTTGTTTTAGAAGGTGGTATAAATAGCTAGTAGTTAGTTTTGTTAGTTGGAGTGATCATTCCTGTAATTGTCAGATTCATACGCATAGTGAAAGATTGAGAGATTAGTGAAAATCAAGAACATTGTAATTACATTTTATGAATCTAAGTTTGCTGACATATTGAAGTCATCTTTATGTTCTTGATTCTTTGAATGAATTGATTGTTAATGACTTGAATCTGGGATCACAGTCAATGCTTCATCTTGAACATCTTCAGTTTGAATAACTTCTGGTTGAACAACTTCAGGTTGAGCATTAGTTGATGTTAAAAAACCAACTTGTTGGTCCCAACGGGATCTACATACAATTATAGGTAACAATTTGTAGAATTGGGGGGGGGGGGAGTGAATACAAAAACAATAATTTTCACTTCTAAAAATTATATATTGATAAAAAAGATCAATACTGTGATAACTGGGTTTCAGTTATAATTCGAGGTAATTATTTGAGATGTTGGTTACGTGATTATATGCTAATTTATGCATGGATGGGAATGTATATGTGAACATG